TAGCTCCTGTGACGTCATCTTTGACCTGACCTGAAAATGACCTGAGTAAAAATTATAGACCTTATCCGTGTGTACCCTTTACCGTTTACCGCTTGTCGCTATCTTGCTTTATTCTGGAGATTTCGCTGTCGCTCCCGCTCGTAATAATGGACAGGTCATAAAAATGACCTGACCTGAGGTCAACGCAGGGCGATAACCACTTTTTTATTATCGCATATGAATGACAATCGATAAGGCTTTAATCGTCATCAGACAAAATTGCAACTTTCAGTGGGGAAAATATCGAGGTCACTTCGAAAAATAGGACAAAAGGTCACGTGATCAAAATTTTCAAAAATTGAAAATCCGAGATAGCCAAAATGTTTGTTGGTTGATTGTGAGTTGAACCATATGAAGTTTTTATCGTAAAAAACCAATAATTTCTGAGTTATAGGCCGCCAAACATAGGGCTGCAGCGCGAACACCAAGAATTGCCCGAGGCTATATCTCGGAAACCGTTGTTCGAAGAAAAAATCCTTGCCACAGCTGGCTTCCCCGCCCATCACAACCCCTTACACCAGTTTTCAACGAAGAATAAAATATGAGGGTGCAAATTTAATTTTTTATTTGTCGATTTGTCGTGGAACGCCCCAGATGACAAAGCGATTCTTCAGCTACAGGGCGCTGTCGATATGGAACGAGGCCCCGGCTAACGTGAGGGATGCCAGCGTAGCCAGTTTTAAGCGGAATGTGTAGCCTGGAGGGCGGGATGCAGACGCTAGGTAGTCAACACTCGAATTGATTTTAGCGTTGTTGTATGCATCTTACTTCTTGTTCATTTTCGTCGTGTTTTATTCGCTTGCTTTCACTACTTTGTATTCACACTTGATCATAAAAGTCATGCTATGGAGATCATACGAAATAAATGAATAAATGAATGAATGAATGAATGAATGAATGAATGAATGAATGAGCGGGCAACACGCTCGTTTTTCTGGAAGCTCTAGATCGATCATGGCCGAACGTCAGGGAGACCATCCCCTGTACGTTTGACGCTGTAAATATGTACGGCCAATGCGGCGGAGGGCATATATAAAAATAAATCTGCCAGGGTTACGCCATAGGTAAAATACTTACCTATCGCAAACCTTGCGATAGGCGTTATCACAAGTGTTTTCGCGGCCATTGGGGCGACGTAAGAAAAGAAGAAAACAACTGGCCCCAAGAACTTTAAATTATCAGTTAGCATGTACCTTTTCCTTGATGTGTAGATAATTTACCATTAATTGTTAGAGAAAATTGCATTTAAAATCTTCCATTTATGCTTTTTCCATCGTTTCCACAATATATTTTTACTAAGCTAGAAACACTAATTAGAAATAGTTCCCGCATCTTTGTCAAGGACAATAGGGAAGGCTTGAAGTGAATACAATAATCTAAACGGTTTTGTAATCTATGTGAAGACACTTCTAAAATTGCCTGTAGAAATATTGAAGGCAAAAGTTCAACTTTTTCACAAGACTGATGTCTATAAACCTATTCAACGTGTGACAACTCAGCCGGTATTTCGTCGCCTACAGCCCAGCTTTTCCTAGTGACCGATAGAGGCGCTGCTATCGATGTCCGCCCGTGCCGCCTAACGGATAATGGTTCGCTAGCCTGCATTGATATGTATATAGTATCAGGAGAGCGAAGTTAACCCGCGACCGCCTGGGGGGTCGGATCCGACCCCCCCCCCCCATTTTTCTTGAATAACTCATGAACCACTTTCGCTATCTACTTGAAACTTGGCATACCTTCTCCCCCATCAATTTGACGTCTCCTGTGTAGGGGAAGTTGGGGGAACGCCGAAGACTTTTTTTCTGACGCCCGTAGCACGCAAGGTAGACAACATACGCTATTCTTGTTGGCGTCATTCGAGAGGCCAGTCTTTTGCCTTTCAAACATACCAGGCGCATTTGATGAATTCGCATACCGTTAAGCGCACAAACTAAAAATATCAAAGAAGTGACTTTTTCGGCTTTGCCCCGGACTGCGGGGAAAGCCGAAAATGGGAGAAATGATCTACGGGGAATGCCGACATTGATGTTTTGCCATTTTATCTCAAACTTTATCCAGAATTCATCAAAGCTGACACACGTTTCAAGAGCTTGAGGACGCGGTGCACACTGGAAGTTATAATTGTGTGATATAATAAGAAAATGCCAGGTAAATCATTCCTTATAGGTAACAGGCCGTTGTGTCGGTTGAAAGTGTAATTTGTGTGACTAAAAATACGCGTTGCTATTCTACAGCACTAAAGTCCACGTAGCGTGCTTTTAACACGTGCGTAATCGCACGTTTTCGGCATTACCCCAGCCAGCCATACTTTCATTTGCAGGCCCATAACTTTTCAACGTGCTGTATAAATTTCAAATAGGCAGCACACTTATGCAAAGACATGCTAAAGATTACTTGACCGAATTGGCCAGACAAACGGTAGCATAATGAGTAAAAAATGCAGCTTCAAAGGCGCATGTAGTACAAGGGAAACGTACCTTGAAAACGCTCTTGGCGCCCTCACAGTCGAAGTATTCCGAATGACGACTCGTAACAAACATGCGATAATTGTAGTCACTTAAGCTTCAGAGCATCACTGACAGGTGGCATCCATGTCTTACGGTTTTCGAAATATCTCGAATTTCGGCTTTGCCCCAATTCCGGCATTGCCCCAACTTCCCCTAATTGTTAAGAAAAAATTTCAATTTTCAGATATATTGATTTTAGTGATGTAACTACATGGCGTTTTTGGTCAAAAAGTGGTAAATGTTTAAAAAATCCCCAAAAATCAGGGTTTAGGGAAAATTACAAATTAAGGACTGAAAAAGACGCAGCTCAACGAGTTCTTTAAAATGGCTATCTCGGATTTTCCATAAAATGCGTTTTTCACCCCTAAAAAGTCAAAAAACTATATTTTTTTGGAAAACAGCTCATAAAATCCAAAATTTTGGGAATTTCCAAAAAACCGGAATATATGTTGTAGAGCTCTATAAAAACATTTAATGCCCCAAGTTTCAACTTTCTATCTTGATTTTTGACCCCCAAATTGTAAGAAATAGCTCCAACATGCATAGGGCATGGTGACGTCATAAGCATTTTCGTGAATTAGAGGCACTTCTGAACATCGCATGAGAAAACAAATGGCACCACTAGATTCCTGGGACAAAGCTCGTCTAGAAAAGTACATTTTTATGTCAAAAATAAAAAGTTGAAAAATTGACTTTTTTCTTAGCCCTCGTTTAGTTATGCATGGTATAAACGATTTTTGTATGCTTTCATTGCACTTTTATCACCAGCAAAGTGACTTGGGGTCACATATAACCATTACCATCGGATTCGGCGTGAAAAATAAGCCATAAAACATGTGTCGCACGCCCATGTAGCAGAAAGTGAAAACGTGACCTTTCGTGACCTGACCTGACCTTGACCCGTACTTAGTATGACCCCTATACGCACATGGTACCTTCACTAGTCCTTTGAGGTCATTTTTGGTCAGTTTCGAGCAGTAGCTATCAATTCCGCTGTCCGTAAGCCTAATCATGCAAAACCCCCGAATTTGACCTTTGACCTGACCTTGACCCGAAAGTTGACCTCAATCTTAAAATGTTAAGAGTGCTTTGGGAAGGTCTCGTAGAGACCTTTTCGAACGCCGCCTCGCGGGGCTCGATACGACCATTGGTTCTCGAGATAACAGGGGGGGGGGTCGGATCCGACCCCTTCTCAGGCTGTCGTGGGTACGGAAATAGCCCAGGCGGTGCCGGGTTAACCCGCGCCCAGATGGGGTCTGCCGAGCAACGCGGTCTGATGGGGGGGGGCCATTTTGGCCCCCCCCCCTCAGATCTCGAGAACCACGCAACATAGCGACAAGCGGTAAACGGTGTTGGATAGCCCCAACGGGGAACTACCTTGTGACCCAATTTCATTGACCTCGGTAAAACCGATGACGTCACAGGTCAGGTCAAAGGTCGAATTTTCACCGTTTACAGGCATTTCAAGAAATGCGTTGTAAAATCGAGTAAAATGCATTTCATTGAAAATCGGCGATGGGGAAATGTTCTTCAAACACATATTTTGCTATTTGAGGTCACTGATACCAGGTCAGGTCACAGAGGTCAGGTCACTGGGGGGTCACAATATGAAAGTGTCGTGTGATACATGTTTTATGGTCCATTTTACATGACAAATGCGATTATGTGGGTCAGACAGACTTAAGGGCCAGCTTAGGTCACGTTTTAGTCAAGGTCAGGTCAAGGTCAGGTCAAGGTCAGGTCAAATTAGGTCAAATTTCAAAGTTGATATTTTTGCATAAAATGGGTATCGATTCGATGCAGCTCGTCACGGGGAGTTCAATGGTGGTCTCCGTTTTGCGCTACGAGGTCTAGAATTGCTAAAAATTGAGTTCAAAAATTTGACGTCATCAATTTTTAACAGTTTTTTCGCTATAACTTGGCCAAAAAAAGAGGTATCGATCTAAAATTTGGTATGTATATCGAAGAGCGCAGGGACTATCACATATATTCCGGTTTTTTCGAAATACGAAATTTTTTTGGAAATTTTTTGAGTTTTTCTAAAAAAATCATTTTTTTTATTTTTGGGGGTCAAAATCCCAAAATTTCGAAAATCCGAGATAGCAGTTTTGTAGCGCCGTCGTTTCTCTACACAACCACATAAAGAACTTTAAAATTGCTTGTTATCTGTAGAATTTGTGAGCGTTTAAAGATGCCATGTTTTTTGTTCATTTTTACTCGAACATGACCTCAGTTTGACCTCAATAACTCCTGACCTGAGGTGACCTGTGACTTGAAATTTGTGTGAAGGTGTCAAATTGATGCGCGGTAAGGTACCCAAAATTTGGCGGCGCTGCGCGCCGCCGTTTTCTCGCTATTTAAGAAAAACCACAGGGGGGGCCAAAATGGCCCCCCCATCAGGGCGCGGGTTAAGTTTCATCACCGTGACGCCCTAACTAGAAAAGGTTCACTCACCTGTCTGTGCCACGATGTTGAGCTCGGCTATCTTGTGACCAATCGGGACGTCCTCGTATACTGTAAGGACCGCATTGGATTCATCCACGTCTTTGATGTAGTCGTCGGACGTATCGGCAGAGAGGAACGGATTGTCCCAGTCAGCAGTCGCCTCTGAAAAAAGCAATCAATGATCCGTCAGCACACTCGCTTATCACCAGATCTGACGGGAATATAGGTATACCGCTGAGCTGTATAACATCCCGACACAAACTTCAACTTCCCTAAGACCGCCGCGCGAGGGGTCGTACCGAGCTGAGTGTCTGTATCTCTGAGTGCCAGTGTACTGTGTACCGAAGTACTGCGTACCCTTGGTACTGTGTACCGCTGCCTGCGGTACTCAATGCTCGGTACGGCCGCTGACAGTGTCCAAAGCGGGCCCGTACCGCGTTGGGTTTTGCTGATCACGTTGAATGACCGCGGCGCTGTATATTGTGAGCTGTGTCCGCTGACTGGTGTGTAATAAACTGATGCTGAAAAAAAAGCTTCAACATCCCAATACGTTATAACAGGTTGATAAGCTTCAAACACGAGGATTCGCCGTAAACAATCATTAACCTCATGTGCAGAAAAACACAGAACAAATAGTGCATGGACGCTTTTCGATTATTAAATCTTCATCAGCATGACATAACCACAGAGAAAACAAGATATATTGTTTTCTTACCAATCATCAAAACAAGATATCTTGTTTCTCTGTGGTTATGACATGCTGATGAAGATTTAATAATCGAAACTCGTCCATGCACTTTTTGTTCCGTGTTTTTCTACTTGTCTCTATCAATATAAAACATCACGTGTATGCATCAACAAACACCAGAAAAGTACATGAGTATGTATGTTGAAGAGCGCAAGGCCATATAAGTGAAGAGTGGAGGTTGATTGTAATCGACCGTTGAGAGTGGAAAATCTTTTGTGTATGTGTATGTGTATGCATGTATTACCATCATGGACGATCCACACAGCGTGTGACAATTATAGTCCAGAGTCTGAGTCGGGTACAAACAAAAACATGCGGGGACAAGAAACACAGGCATACAGATTCAATCACTGGACATTCGCTCTCTCTCTCTCTCTCAATACAAACGGACGATTCAAGACAGCACACCGCACACGGATGTCGCACCTCCTTCCCCTGACACGGTTCATCGTCGGGCGGTCGCCATCGCCGGACAGACTGTAGCCTTGGCCGCACGGGCGAATTGGGCGGGGCGCTGTTCGATGCCGCCGGGTGGCAGAATGCCCGCGCACCGACGGAAGGGGGGCGATTTACCGCCCCCTGAGGTTTTTAGCGGATAGCGGAAAAACCATGGCGCCGCAAAATTTGGCATGACTTTTCCCTCATCAATTTTACACATGGTGTGCATGTTTGCAGCTCTTACCTCTCAAGGTCAGGTCACCAGGTCACTTGGAGTGAGCCAACCTCAAATCACTTTTTTGCAATTTTGTCACCGTGTCAGAGCTACAGTAGATGACGGAGGCCTATGAACGTCGTAGGATGTAATGAGGTTGATGATGGCTACAATTCTATTTCTCGGAATTTTGATATTGATGACCTAAGGTCAGGTCGATTTCTTGACCTCCACATAAGCCAATGGGGGGAAAATCAACCCCGTGTTTTCCCCCTAAATCGCGTCGGAATAACCCAATATACCATGAGTGATTTCATATACAATCATCCTTGACTAGCTTGAGGCCTCTTTTGCTCTTGGGCAGCTGTAAGGTCATGTGACGTCATCAAGGGTCACCAAATGTTTTTTGCTAATAACTCCTTACAGGAACAAGATGCAGCCGCGCAGATGGTCTCATTGTGTTCAGCTCGTCAAGGCGCATTGAATTATATACATGATGACCTTGAGCTCACGTGACCTGGGGTCAACCTTTGACCTTGACCTTTCGAGGTCAACACATATATGATTCTATGCGGATTAACGAGAGGATCACGATGATGCCTTTAGTTTGTTCCTAGCTTTGCTAATTCGAAAGTTATTTGATAAAAACTCAAATAACTTTCAACATCTAGCGCCGCCATTTTGACTTCTTTGATCCCTGTGACGTCATCTTTGCCCTGACTTGAAAATGATCTTTGTAAAAATTGTAGACCTTGTCTCTGCGTACCCCATGCCGTTTACCGCTTGTCGCTATCTTGCTTCGTTTTCGAGACCTCAGGGGGGGGGGCGGTCAACCGCCCCCCGTCGGTTCTAAGTTGGCGCAGACCGCTCCCCGTTGGTGTGCGGGTTAAGTTAGCAGTTGAATATGTCACATACACACGTTTTGCATATGAAAGCTCCTCCTGCTCCTTGACAGCCTTCTGCATTATGCTATCAAGTACTTTTAACTCCCGCACCGACCGGGGGACGGTTATCAGCCACTGTTTTTAACCCTCTCCGGACCTATTGGTTTTCTGCATACGCGCCGGCGGAGAGGGGGGGGGGGCGTGTATGACCCCCCTCGCCGTTTCGCCCCTGGCGGAGCTAGCGCGTCGCGGAAAAACGAGCGTGTGCACCGTTACGAGACGCAGAGATTGGTACCCGATTTTAAGGTCCTAGGTCAACCCGTGACCTCTGAGGTCAGGTCTAGTGCCCCAAGGCACGATTCAGTTTTTGGTGAATAACTTCGCAAAAAACGGCCGCAGAGCCGCGACTTTGGCAGCATCGTGTTCGTCTTGCTCAGGCGCGTCGAATGATATACTTTCTGTTTTGGTCAGGTCAACTTAGGGTGTTGACCTAAGGTCACGGTCAGGTCAGCGTCCCCAGGTCACGAAGCTGGTCGAAAGAGATCATGTCGCATATAATTCGCTTCGGCAGGTCTTCTTGAGTCCATTGGTGGCTTTCCCGACTCGCTAGCTCATTTTGATCGGGAGTTATTGACGAAAAACTAATATGACCTTGATGACGTCATAAATGACGTCACGCAAGGTCTACATTGCAAAAGTGAAGCATCTAACCTTGCAAGGAGTGCATCAAATCACAATTATGTGTGCTTTAGCTAGTTGGAGATCGTTCCCGGCGCCAGAATAGCAATTTTCATTTTCCCCGTTGACTTATAATGGCAAGGTCACGAAAATGACCTCACCTCATATGACCTTTAGGAAAAATTCGAGATATAGAAGTTGTGAGACTCGTAATGGATACTACATCCTGCAAGTTTCATTTCCCTGTGAAAGCTCCTCTGGCAGTGAGGGCGCTGCGAAGTTGCGACGTCTGAAGACCGTGCAGAGGTTTACTTATGACGTCATAGGTCAGTGACCTGACCTGACCTGAAAACGCGGTTGATGTCAAAAAAATCCGGCTTCAATCATAAGTCAGGTGTGCTAAGTTTCAGCTATCTATCGCCAGCGTGTTCGGCGCTCTTGCGAAAAAAAAAAAACTATGGGGGGCGGCACCCCGCCCCCCCTCGTCCGGCGAGGGTTAAATAACGAAAAAATCGCATCGCGTAGCGCCTCGAAATTCGGCAAAACTATTTTCACTTCCAATTTACGCATCGTGTGCAACCCTGAACCTCTTATCTTTCAAGGGCAGGTCACCATGTCACCTTGAATGACGCGACCTCCAATCACTTTTTTGCAACTTCGTCACCGTATCAGAGATACAGTAGATGACCGAGTCCTTTGAAAGTTGCAGGATGTGATAAGACTATTATCAGCTACAATTTTTTGGCAAACAACGTACATTTTAGCAATTTTTGTCTCCTGAAGGCTAAATCGTTATTCATTAGGTTAAAACTGGGGGCGTCATCAGAAAGAACGGAATTGCTAATTGAGCTAATGTCCAATGCCCAGTGTACACACATCTATCATCTATGACATGACATAAAAACACACACAAAAACACGCTGCTCATTCACTCACTCAGATGCTACCATACTACCCACCCGGCTCTACGTACCCCGACACTGCGTCCCGTTTCATTTCAGCCAGCAGCGATGCGTAGGTGGCCAGCCGATTGGGGCGCGGCGACCCTGGCGACACTTCGGAGCAGCTGGGCGCGATGCTCAGGAGCTGGTCGGTCAGCTCCTGAGTAGTTGCCACTCTCTCATCGACTGACCGGGGAGCGGCGCGTGGCTTCAGGTACTGCGCCAGCTCGGGGTCGTCCAGTGGGTTGCGGCTAGGCAACGCGCAGTGCAGCTCACCGACGCCCAGCGGCTCCTCCCGCAGCCCGTTGCGCCGGTTTTGCACTGTCCGTCCCCTCCACGTGCCAGTCTCTTGTTCCCGCCGCTTCTGCTGCACCTCATGTTCAGCCGTTTGCAGGATGCTTGCCGCGTTTCCTCTGACAACAGCCAGAGCCAGCCGCTGCCAAAGCCAGGCTGTCCAGGGGGGTGTCACTACTTTGCTTCGCCATAGGTCCAGTACTGATGTCATTGGTTTCGGACCCGGTGACGTCAGTGCTGGCTACATCCGGGAACTTCTTGCACTTGGTTCTCATTAGAGGTGGCCATATTGTTTTGTCCCGTGACGACACATTTGCGTCACTGAGTCCGAAACTGGCTGTAAACAAATCGCTCAGTGTCGCTACCTCCTATATATGGCCTTGGGCTGTCTCTCGACGGTCTTCCGTTACGGAGGCGATCCTTGCACCGAGCTCCCGAACAAACACCTTTGTGGAAGGACCACAAGCTCCAGATGTCTCGAAGGCCAGAGGTTCAAAGTGGAAGCGCTGCGTGAGATCATCGTACTTCTTGCGCTTCTTGACTTCAGCTTCGCGTGCAGCTGTTCCGGCTGAGGTAGCGGCTGCCAGCACATGGCTATCGGCGTATGTGTTGACGCACGTGGCATCCCAAGCTAGGCACATACCGTTTTTGAAAGGAAATATGCTGATGCCGTCGGGGCGCTTGCCGTCTCCACGGTCAACTCCTGTTGGCTCCAGAAGAGAGGGAATCCTTGCCGACTGCAGTGCTCGCCTTACGATGTCGTTCAACGCGGTGTGTCTAGGGTGTCTCCCGGCGCTGAACTTGCAGGTAAGGGCATGGTATCCCTTACTGTCCGCTATTGAGCCACATCTGCAGCGGTGTGGACGGCAGACATCGGCTCCCAAGCGAAGGGCGATGGCAACTCGCAGGGTTTCTCGGTCTAGAAGTGTTCCCAGGTTGGCAGACGGTGCAGCATGGAGCCATGC